CTTGATTATAGGTTTTCAAAATGTATTCTTAACATGATCTGCAAGTGAATTCAGCGTTCTGTTTACATTAATTCTGAAAATACTGTTTGATTTGTTGCTATATGCATATATATTGTAAGCTTTGCTTGTTAATAGACTTCATAAACTACTATCAAGGATGAAGTGTGAACATCATAGTGTCAGACAAATACAAAAGGAAAATTGTGTAGACTTTTAGGACACACAATTCACAGCCTGTGGATTTGTGATCTTAGTACTTGTAAATGAAGAGGTTCTTGTCTGTCAGGAAAGGTGAAAAGCCACTTGAAAAAATCAGTAAAATTTAGAAAATTTCAAATAATCTATCGTTTGGCATTTCCAATTTACCAGTTTGAACAAATTAAAATCTTCCAATTTTGATGGAACATTTCTTTACCAGGTTATGTCAGAACAGTCCACGACATTTAGTTTTATATTTTGGTTTAATACTGGTTTGCAGAGCTGAAATAAGTTTGTCAGCACCCAGCTGAACCCCCAAATAACCAATGCAGATTCTGGGTTCAAGGACCTGTCAATTTTGTAGCAGTTTAATATGACTAAGCCTGATTGAAAGCAATAGGTTTTGAAGTTACGGACATAGTCAGTTTGTTTTATTTCCATATCTCTTGCATCCTTTCAGAATGTTGTCCATATATCAAATGTTTATTCAGCAACCCTTAGCATGGTAGACTGATGTACAATAATGAAGAACATGCACTCTTCAATAGGTAATTCATTCTTGACTCAGCATGACTGATGACTTAATATTCATTGATTTTCAGAAACCTCTAAGTGCGCACATATTCTTAAAAACAAAAAGAGAGAGTATTACATTCATTAGAAAAATGTAACATGTAGATGTGGTAGCTCCAATGCCCAGTTGGCTCTCCTTTGCCTATGAGAAATCTCCCATTCACTTTCAAGGGAGGAGAAATGCTGCATTTGCAGTAAATCCTCTTCAGTGAAAGGGCTTCCTTGTTTGCAGAAGTGCTCCAGTTTTGCATAAGGATGGATATGGGTTTCTGGATTGGGAAATAAGACAATTGTTTCCGATGAGTTAGGGCAGGTCTACACTTAAGGCAGACAATTTGTTCAGTAATGAGAGTTCCTTCTGCACAACCCACAGGCCTTGTAAGGATGTTTAAAAATGTATGTATCTCACATTTTTAAGGGGGAAAGTGTGCTTCAAATTCTTGCACTCAGAGAGCTAATGCTGAAAATGTGAGGGCAACAACATTAAAGGTTAAAAAAATAATTGGTAAGAAAAATGTAGTTCATTTCAACTCCACTGTGATTTTTGAGTTCACATTTAAAGACTTTTGTAGAGCAGAGTTCAGTGTTCACATTTGACTTCTTGCAACGTAGCATGTTGCAAGAGGGCAGCATGTTGTCCAGCTGCATTAATAGCCATGTCAATGAAAATGATATGGCAATTACATTATTAGAAACAAAAAATGCAAATAAAGTACTGTATGGCCTTCTGGCTCCAAAGCAATGTTTGGACCTAGTACCGGAAGAGTGAGAAACATACTTTAAAGGGGGGGGGGGTGTTTCTCAGAATGCACACAATCCTGCCAATGTAGTAAAGAATGTACAGCAGCTGAAAGGTTGCCTCTTCCCATTGATGCATACCTGAACCTTGAGTTCTTCAGAGGCACTTCTCCAGGTGCTCTGACCAAAGGAGATGGAGCTCATGGCTATTAGGGAGAAAGACTTTTTGTTGGTGGCAGTCCAACTATGGAATATTCTCTCTAGAGAGGCCTGCCTGGCTCCTGTTTGGGTTCATTTCAGTGCCAGGCCCTTTCACCTGGCTTTTAAAATACCTTTTTAATATTTCATTTTTTTAAAATTATGTTTAAATCTAGTGCTTTTATGGCTGATTGTTATATTTTAATATTGATATTTTAAGCCACCTAGATAACACAGTTATTGAGTGGCATATAAATGTGGTATGTAAGTAATTATCATGGGCATCTTGGTGTCATTCCTACTAAGGAGCAGTTTAGAAAGCTGTATCAGTTTATTGTCTGCAGAGGTTTGATAAGGTGAGATCAGAAAAGCAAAAACTATTGCATTTTCCATAAGAATCACATACACTGGAATTTAAACCCAAATTAGCACTTTTTGTTGGAAGGTTTTTAAAACTAAAAATGTATTACAGTGGTACCTCGGGTTACATACGCTTCAGGTTACAGACTCCGCTAACTCAGAAATAGTGCTTCAGGTTAAGAACTTTGCTTCAGGATGAGAACAGAAATCGTGCTCCGGCGGTGCGGCAGCAGCCGCAGCAGGAGGCCCCATTAGCTAAAGTGGTGCTTCAGGTTAAGAACAGTTTCAGGTTAAGTACGGACCTCCGGAACGAATTAAGTACTTAATCCGAGGTACCACTGTAGTTGACAATGAGAATCAAATTCTTTGTGAATTTCATGTGGACTTCCAGCAATTATAATATTGTATGAGCATAATACTCTTATTACAATATAATCCCAATTAATGCACAATTCCCAATAAGCCCAAAGTCTGCAAATTTAACTGATATGCTTTTTCTTTCATGTAAATCAGAAATTCATAGTAACAATAGTGGGGTTTTCTCTCTCTCTTTTGCATGTTTTTAGCTTATTTTGATAAAAATGGCTGTTTAATATTCAGAATGATGGCATAAATATGTGAAATGGATCCTCGGATGGATCTATCCCAGAAAGTTGTTGGGCAGGGGACAGGTTTCTAGTCCAAGTGGGAAATTGCACCAGGTCTCATACATACCAGTTCCAGATCCAGGAAGTGAGGTCAGATCAAGCAAAGGTCAAGTCCGCCTAAGCAAGGTCAGCCAAAGGAGAGGTCAAAAGTCTGAAAGGCAAAGAAGCAATCTGGGTAGCACCTTGGATAGTTCCAAGTGGATCCTAAACTGGAAGGTAGACTACTGTTGCGTCAACATTTTGCTTCAGTAGGGTGGCAACTTCCTTTGAGCAGCAAGCCCTGCTCCTCTTGAGCAGAACCTCTATTCTTAAAGAGGCCCAGTCTGTTTTAGGAAGCTGTGGACTACATGGGGGTGGGTGGGATGGGGTGGTGACTGTAGTTTTACTGTGGCCCCAGAGCCAGGGCCCTCAGAGTCTAAAGACAGTAATGTGCCCTCACTAGGTGGAGAGACACTGGGTTCATGGGCTCCTCTGCTGCTGGAACTACTGAAGAGGCATTGACGTTACAGTCTGGTTCAGAAAGCACATTGTTCTCCAACACAGATAGATCCACTAAACCCATGTCCAATTCCCTGAAGATGGGGAGTGACAAGACTGGAAATTGCATCTCACCGTTTTTCACCAAGAAGATCAGTAAAGCCCTATAGAATGTAATCAAATAACAGGAAACGGTGAAACTCACAGTAGCCCAATACAGTGGTATCTCTGGTTACGTACTTAATTCATTCCGGAGGTCCGTTCTTAACCTGAAGCACCACTTTAGCTAATGGGGCCTCGCGCTGCTGTTGCGCCGCTGCCGCACGATTTCTGTTCTCATCCTGAAGCAAAGTTCTTAACCTGAGGTACTATTTCTGGGTTAGCGGAGTCTGTAACCTGAAGCGTATGTAATCTGAAGCATCTGTAACCCAAGGTACCACTGTATATAGGACAGTACAAAAGCCTGGTTGCAAAGAGCAGTTATAACTACCCTTCTAAACATAAGCAATGAAGGAGTTATCTGGATTTCCAGAGGTGGGAGTTCCAGAGCCTGGGGCCCACCACAGAAAAGGCCCTTCTGAGCATTGTCATGTTGTGAGTAGCTAATGGGAAAGGAGAAGGAGTTATCTTTGGAAGATTTTGGTTCTCAGGCAGGATTATATACAGGAAGGTGGTGTTTCAGGTTGTATGGGTAAAAAACAGCACTTTGGAAGCAAGTTGGCCCCCAATGTAGTCAGCACACAACCCCTATATTGGACTCACATAAGAAGCCTGGGCGCTGTATTGTCGACAACCAGACATTTCCAAAGGTCTTGAAAAGGCAGCCTATGGAACACATCTTTCAAGCAAGAGGGGACTTAAGGCATGGATCATGGTTGCCAGATCAGAAAATTCCAGAAAGGAATGTAGCTGACACAACATTTTTAACTGTGCAAAGACACTCCTGGCTATAGTTGAGGCCCGAAAATCCAGGGGGCAGAAAGAGCTTGTGATCCTGGATAACTGGAATGTATTTGCCCTCACCTTCCTGTAGGTATAGAGCTGAACTGGGCCAGAGCCACCAGCTGAAGGACATAGCCTGGGACCCCAAAAGAGTGAGGAAGAACCTGCCTGTGAGTTGAGAACTACAGGAAGAGTCTAGTTTGACTTCTAACAGCAGCAGCAGCAGCAGATTGGCATGCAGCCGTGATGACTAAATATTGTACAGGGCTAATATTAAAAGACTTTATTATTAGCCAAAGAGGAGTGGCAGAAAGAAAGAACATCTTTCTTTGCTCTTGTGGGAACAAGTTGCTCTGTTGCGAGAATGTCTCCAAACATTACACCTCAAAGCCAAGGGAAAAACAAGTGATCCAAAGATGTCTTAACATATGTGTAAAAACTTTAAAGAATAGGACAAGTTTGTTGTCAGGTTGGATCTAATGGTAGCAACTTGAAAAACCCTTATAGAAAAGGAGAGTTGATAAAAGACTGTTGTTGTTGTTGTTGTTGTTGTTGTTGTTGTTGTTGTTGTTGTTGTATTTATTACCCACTCTTCACCAGAACGGTCCTAGAGAGGGTTAAAAAGGTAAAGGGACCCTGACCATTAGGTCCAGTCGTGACTGACTCTGGGGTTGCGGCACTCATCTTGTTTTATTGGCCAAGGGAGCTTCTGGGTCATGTGGCCAGCATGACTAAGCCGCTTCTGGTGAACCAGAGCAATGCATGGAAACGCCGTTTACCTTCCCGCCAGAGCGGTACCTATTTATCTACTTGCACTTTGACGGGCTTTCGAACTGCTAGGTTGGCAGGAGCAGGGACTGAGCAACGGGAGCTCACCCCGTCACGGGGATTCAAACTGCCGACCTTCTGATTGGCAAGTCCTAGGCTCTGTGGTTTAACCCACAGCGCCACCCGCGTCCCAGTCTAGAGAGGGTTACAGCAATATAAAATACAGCATTAAAAAGAGTTTAAGGCAAATTACCATTACAAAGAAGGGACGCGGGTGGCGCTGTGGGTAAAACCTCAGTGCCTAGGACTTGCCGATCGAATGGTTGGCGGTTCGAATCCCCGGGGTGAGCTCCCGTCTTTTGGTCCCAGCTCCTGCCCACCTAGCAGTTTGAAAGCACCCCTAGGTGCAAGTAGATAAATAGGTACCGCTTAATAGCGGGAAGGTAAACGGCGTTTCCGTGTGCTGCGCTGGTGCTGGCTCGCCAGAGCAGCTTCGTCACGCTGGCCACGTGACCCGGAAGTGTCTCCGGACAGCGCTGGCCCTCGGCCTCTTGAGTGAGATGGGCGCACAACCCTAGAGTTGGACACGACTGGCCCGTACGGGCAGGGGCACCTTTACCTTTACCTTTACCATTACAACTAGAATGGGTCCTAAAATATAGATCTATGTCTCAAGTGTCAAAGGGCAAGGCAAAGAGATGCATCTTCAGCATATGGTGGAAGCTATGCAATGAGGTTCCAGACAATCTCTGTGGGAAGGAAATTCCAAAGCCCAGTGGCTGTCGTGGAGAATGTTCTCTCCTAAATCCTCACCCCCGCCCAACCAAAAAGTTGAGGGCAGTGGAGCTACCTAAACTGTTTACAGGAATTAAGTTTATACTACCATTTCCCTCTGACTATGATGCTGACTGAACAGAGGATCATAAAAGCAGAATAATATCTGCCCCCTCCAGCTTCCCTTCCAAATTTTAACCCATATTTTCTCCACATATCTGCTCCCAATGAGAAAATATTTTCAAAAGAGGAGATACTTTGCAATGTTACATTTTGTTTTGTTTTTAAAATTAATTTTGTTTTTCAAAATACAAATTACTTTATACAAAAACGAATATCCACCAGGGTAGGTGGGGCTGAGAATCCTGAAAAACAAAATGTGATTTTAATGTTTTGTTTAGTTTTAGTTTTTTTTATGTTAAGTTGGCTTCTGCAGTAAAGTACACTTGAAACCCTGGACTGCTGCCTGGAGCAGCCTTTGCCTACCTTCTTACAGCTTGCAGACCACTGGACATGCTGCCTGGGGCTGATGGGAGTTACATCCCAAAATATCTGACAGCAGCAGGTTGCAGAAGGCTGCCCTAGGCTCTGTGGTCTTCATGTGGTCTTGCAGTACTAGACCAGAGACTATGGGTTGCATCCAACGTGTACCAGCAAAATGCTGCTCGCAGAATTGGACTTCCCAGTCCTCTTTCTCTTTTTCAGCGTGACCCCCCCCCCCAAATCTGCCCAATGGAGTTCACCCTCTGGAGCCAATTTTGCAGGGTGTACAGGGGGGTGGATGGGAGAGGCGAGGAGAGTGGAAGTCTGCAGTTCAAGTGGAATAACAGCTTTGGATACGACGTTAGGACTTTAAAAGGTGCAGTTATGTTCTATCTCTCTCTCACAGCTTTATTGTGGTCCATAGACTCAAAATACACAGTACAACAATATAGATCAACAGTTATTAAGGTGTAAGAGCAGCCTCGCTAGCCAACAGAGAAGCTTAGTTATGTTCATACTGTTGACATGACTGGTGTAAGTATTCCCATTTCAATGAATGGTAGTCTATCTCTTATGGTTAAAATGTGAGCTGATGCAATGGGTGGAAAGCAAAACTCTTGTCAACTTTCATTACTAGCCTTGGGTAATGTATCAATTCTACCAATCACAGTGGCACCTTCATATTTAGAAATATGTATCCAGAGACCCTTCTGAGGGAAGCGTGGAGGGTGGCAATGTGAAAAAGGAGATTTTCAGTAATGGCTCCCCATTTGTGAAATGTTCTTTCCAGGGAAATACAGCGCTGTCAGATTTCAGGTGCCTCGTTAAAACATTCCTGTTTACAAAATCCTTTGGTTGTTAACTGTGATTATATGGCAGAATGATTCTGGCCTGTTTGTGGTGTTCATATTTTTTCTGGGTGGGGCAGGATTTGCCCTTTTTATAATAATTGATGAGCACTTTTTCAACAAAACTTTAATTTGCATTTGCTCTGTTATAAGCGGTGTATATTCTGCAGGATCTGTAAGTCACTTTGAGATTTCCCTGTGTGCAGAAATGATATAAATAAAAACAATGTTTTGTCATCAAATATGTATTTAAGTATTTATTAAAACACAAACTTTTGTACAGCTTTTCTTTTTTTTACTAACAGATTAAATGCGGAAAAGGAACAGTATGAATAAATACATGCCAAATTGGCACAGACCAGCAAGATACTGAACTGGCCATCCCAGGTGTGAGGTTTGAGGATGTCATTGTAAAACATCTGGCCTACCAGGCATGATATCATTCTAGTTAGTCTGGCTGCCACTGTGGTATCTGTGGCCAAATATGTCAATCTTGGATTGGCCTTTCTTCTCAAAGCTCATTTGTCATTTTGATAGGGGACGCAATTATAATAGCATAATAAATAGGGTGCCATAAAGTGAGAAAGGCAGTTACTTACACCTGACGTGTAAACAAACCAAAGAGGACAGAGTTTATGTTTTGTGGCAAACTCTCAAAAGTACAATTGCAGCAAACTGCACATACAGCAAAGGGCCATGTTAATGCCATCTTATCCATTTTCTGGTTTCATTTTGGTTGGCTCAGTCCCAAGATCATAACTCTGCTCCTTGACAACAGTTATGATTATGGAAGTTTCCCTCTTCAGGGAAAGTTGCTCTGGACAGCGTTGTGGTTTCTTCACCTTGCACCTTTTTAAAAAAAAAATGCAAATCAGCTTCAGTATGATAATGGTTTTATAATCCACTGTTATTGTTGTTGCAGCAGCAGTAAATTGAATATAGTATCTTGGACGAATGAGATCTCATAGGAAACATGTGCATACTGAAAGTACTGTACTTCCCTGCAGTTTGGCAGAGACTTAAAATAGCTGAAAAATGACAAGCTAATGTGATCTTAAGAACACATGTCAGACATTGCTAGTTCTTATTATGCATTCTATCAGAGTCAACATATCCAGATGCAATTGCACTTTCTGGAGACCTGCTTCAAACAGGATGTCATTACTTGCTATGTGCAATTTTAATATATTAGAGACTTTTTTTAAATGCTGGGAGTTCTTAAACATGAGAAGATTATGAAAATGATCATATCCTCCCACATATTCTTCTATGCATCATGGAAGAAAATAGGTAATGCAAAAAGAAAAAAGAAAAGTTGGGGCTAAATTAACTATTTATTACTGAGGTATATGATGATTTGAACCACCATTCTGGGTATATTTGCTTCACATGCATTTCGGCAGGTGAAAGTTGCCAGGAAACGTGAGAAGTGAATTTTGCCAATAATGGGCTGATCATTGCAGGTGCTAAAATAAAAGCAATTTTCCAATATAACCATTTGCCCTTTAAAGCCTGTGGAAAGTGCAAGTACAAACATATGATCTGTAAAGCAGCAGGTAGATCTTACTGTTGCACACATGCTGTGCTGCAAGCCTGTACACCTGTGGGGTTTTTTCCAGGGGGCGTTGCAAAGTACAGTGGTACCTTGGGTTACATACGCTTCAGGTAACATACGCTTCAGGTTACAGACTCCGCTGACCCAGAAATAGTGCTTCAGGTTAAGAACTATGCTTCAGGATGAGAACAGAAATCGTGCCCCGGCGGCGCGGCGACAGCAGGAGGCCCCATTAGCTAAAATGGTACTTCAGGTTAAGAACCATTTCAGGTTAAGAACGGACCTCCGGAATGAATTAAGTACTTAACTCGAGGTACCACTGTATAATATGCCAAATAAATAAATAAGACCTTGCATCAGAGGGCAGGCCTACTATTTCTGGTAGATTTGTTTGACTGAGCAGTGGTGAGGCCTGGGTAGACCTGGTATCCAAAAACCTCATACTCCAAGTCTACCCCTTTGTGGGTTATTGATGAGTAAACCAGCCATCTATCTACAGGCAGACCTGACATCCAAACAACATATTTCCACTCCATGGTCTCCTCCATTCTTGCCCTGTCTTCCTTTACCTCCTTTATACGCCAGCATGGTGTAGTGGTTAAGAGCGGTGGACTCGTAATCTGGTGAACCAGGTTCGCTTCCCCGCTCCTCCACATGCAGCTGCTGGGTGACCTTGGGCTAGTCACACTTCTCTGAAGTGTCTCTGCCTCACTTACCTCACAGAATGTTTGTCATCATCATAGACTTTTATTGCACTAGCCATAGGCCATGGCATCCTTCAGAAAAGTAACAAAAGGAAAAACAGCAAAAACCATAAAAATCATCAGGCACCACACACACAATATAGACCACGGTCACAACTACTAAGATTGTTTGTTACATAAAATAGAATAGCAGAAGATTCTCTAGTAAAATGTGCCAAATTAAATATCCGAATCCCCTTTTCAGACTGTTTTTTGTGGGGGAGGAAGGGAAAAAGAGATTGTTAGCCTCTTTGAGACTCCTTAGGGTAATGATAAAGTGGGATATCAAGTTCAAACTCTTCTTCTTCTTCTCTAGCCCATTGTACTGCTGCTGCAGTTGACTTCACAGTCCCATCACCACTGCATTTCCCTTTAAAAATGCCACCACCAAGCACACACACAAATGCAGAATTAACAACAATGGACTACACTTCACAATTGCTATACGCTCCCTTCTCACTCCCTTCAGCAATATGTGCATGGGAACACTGGGTTGCTTTGCAGGCCTGGCATAGACCACACCCTCTCGGCCATTCCGGCCCCCCACAATTTGGGTAGAACAATGGCGGAAGCTTTCTGTCTTGGCATCAACAGAGCAATTTTTAGAATGTTGACAAACTCAGAATAAAACCACATTTTTATTGCAATGCGTTAGAAAGATTGTGAGGGTGGGACCTGAACCAATAGATTCAATTGACAAGAAAGGAAATTCCCACTAAACACTAGGAATAGCTTTCTGGTGGTAAAAAACCTATTCTACAGCGGATGGCCACCTGTCAGGGATTCCCTAGCTGTGATTCCTGCATTGCAGGGGGTTGGACTAGATGACTATTGGGGTCCCATATTATAAATTAGTTTTTGTACTATGTTACAAGCGCTGCTAGGAGTCGTTTCTTTTTATTTCCCAATGGATTTCTTATCAATAAAAAATTGGTGTGGCACGATCAAGT